AAGTCTTTTATTTATTAGATTTTATGATATAAAGATTAGATCTATAATAGATTTCTGTTTCATATCTTTTCTAAAGAATGTTTATCAATCAGACTTGTTAACTAAATCTATTGAATGCTTAAAGATTCATTCAATCAGATTATCAGCTCTTACTGCTCTTTTGCATTCTGAATTTCATCAGGGATGATGTGCATTGAAATCTCCTGCAATTATAGAGTTTCTTGATGAAGTTATGTTCAGAAATCCTCTATTAATTGTCCAGGTGTTATTATTTTTCTTCAATGACTTTTCATTATAGACTACGGGCGCTAGCCACCCGCAGGATGCATCTTAAGCTAATTACATTTAACCCCCTATAATTAACCGACCACCGCGTCCGTCCTCTCAGGCCAGCCACTAATTTCCAGGGGTGTTAGTTAGTGGCTGCCACCGCCCACTTGGTGGTGTACACACCAAGCTTCTGATTGCTGATCTCGGCCTCATTAGATGCCCATAGGCCTACCAATCAGCTGTTGTGGCCTCGCCCCGTGTTAGGGACTAATCATAGGCTTGATGACTGCAGTCCTCCCTGCCAGTATTAGGGCTTGGCAGTGAGCTTGCAGGCTCTAGCCTATCAGAGTGCCCTGTCTAGGGCCTAGATGCGCGTCTAGGCCTGCTAGTCGGGTGGTTTTCAAAATCATTCTCTGTATTTGGGGGGGAGCTAGGCTCTGATGATGGCCCTAGTTAGGGACTTGCTTAAGTAGTGTATAACCACTACATTAGACTTGACTCTATATTGTTAGAACCTTGACAGGTGCACAGTAGAATAGTGGGACATTGGCATCCCATGCCGGCCCTGGTGGGTGTTCGCAGGATCTCGCTTAACTAGTGGCTTGGCTTGCAGTAGGGAGTTCTACCCCGCACCAAGCCTTACTAATTAGGCTCAGCCCCTATTACATGGGGGCTTTCATGGGTAAGAAGTGGCAGGTGCCAGCGGTGGGATTTGAACCCATGCACCCCTAATGTGTGCGGCCTTGGTTACCAGTCTTACCAACTGGGCCACGCTGGCTCTTTTGAAGCATTCTTTGAGATGCGCGGATGCAATTCATATAACAGGTAGAATGATGAATGCTTGAAGACTGCATGCTACTGAATTTGCATAACTAATAGTGTCTGATCAAGATATTCATCTCTTAGTTATATAGACTTACTTACTAGATATTTTATTAGCATGTTACTCAAGATTTCATTCAAGTGTTTTATCTTCTTATTCATCTACAGATGATATAGTATTGTTCTACAATGTCTTATCTATAACTAGCTTATAAAATGCCTCACTACTTCTTCTACAAGATTCACACTGTTATCAGTTAGAATCTCATACAGTATTTCATAGTTAATATAGATCTCATTATATAGAAACTTCATCATCATCTTCTCTATTATCTCTGAAACTGCTTTCACAACTGATCAGTCAGTAGTATAATTAATAGCAGTAATTATTCAATAATTTTCATTTAGTGTTCACAGCAGTATGTCTATGAGATTCACTTCTTATTATTTAAACAGTTGTATTGTATATTTTATCTGATATTGTACTTTCTTATATTCTAACTATTTCTTAGATTCTTTCATAACCTGATAATTCAGGCACTTATGAGTATACACTTGAATATTCTCAGTCATGCTTGACTAGTACACTCTTAATTCAAGTATGCTCATGAGTTCAGAGTTTCTAAGTGACTGAATTCCTTGTATATATGAGTTATTAAGTCATGTCTATATAAATATTCTAGATAGAGAGTTTCTGTGTATTCTAGATTACAGTAAAGCATAACATCATTTTTCAATTTTCTCAGCTTGAAGTTCAGAAGTATCTCTTTTACTACTTTTATAAAATACTTATTATCTGACATCTTGTCATTTTTTAAGTAAGAGATCATTGTGTTCACTTATTCTGATTTCTTGCATTCTCTCAGTATATTTAATATAAACTTCTCTTATATCTGATTCACAGAATTCTCACTTATGAAATCAGATCTGTGACTGATTGTATTAGATATTACAGTATTTAATCCCTTCTAATATTTAATATGAAGATTGTACACTTGAAACTCTGAGAGTCAATGTGCTAAGTATTTAAAAGGTTTTATTATCAATTATAGATAGATAAGACTTTTATAATCTGTGATCACTATTATTATATAGTTATTATTAATATATCTATTTCATAACATCAGTATATATTTAATCACTAGTAATTTCTTTTCATATACTGAGTAATTGAGCTCAGTATCTAATAGTTTTCTACTATTATATATCACTGAGTGCAGCTTGTTAATCTTGCTCATCTGTAGAAGAGTGTCTCTGATAGCTCATTCAGATGCATCTATCTCAATGTAGAAAGATTTATCACAATTTGATTGAATAAGCACTGGAAATATTATCACACATTCTCTCAGTGTGAGAAAAGCCTTCTCATATACAGTATTTCAGATAATTGAATGAAACTTCTTCTTTCACAGATTAGCATTTATTTCTCTTAAGAGATCTAAGAGTAATGCAGCTATTTATACAAAATCTTTGATAAATCTGTAGTAATATGAGATTAACTTAAGAAACTATTATATATAATATACATTTCTCAGCTGTGATCAATTCACTATAACATTTAATTTCTTCAGAATAAGATGTATACAGTTATTACTTACTACATATTCTATGAACTTCAACTCTTTCATTTGAAATACACACTTTATTGATTTAATATAGAGCTTATACTCTGTCAGAGTTATAAGCACTTCATTAAAATGCTTCAGATATTTATTATATAAGTTTGAGAAGACTAGAATGTTATTCAGATATATAAGATATGAGATTTTATTCTGTTTATAAAGAATTATATTTATCATCATTTAAAAGATGATAGATGCATTTGTCAGATTAAATAATATTATCAGAAATTCAAACTTTTCTCATTGTGTATTAAATGTGATTTGCAGTACTAACAGTTCATCTACACATATCTACTAGTATTCTGAGAGAAGATTGATCTTTGATAGATATTAGGTATTTTTAACTATATTCAACTGTTGTTGAATTCATGACAGTGAATATTCATTCTTGATCATGAGCTTGTTAAGTGCTTGATAATTAATACATATCTGTCACTTCTCATCTATCTTTTTTATAAATAGAACTGAAAAGTCTCACATACTTAATAAGAGTTGTATGAGATCACATTCTAGAAGGTCTGTGATCTGACACTACTGTTCTTCAAGATACATTTGTGACAGAGAGTACATATTATGATTGACTGATTTTATGTCCTCTGTGTCAATCTCATGTATAAATCCTCATTTCAGCAGTAATTTCAGTGAAAGATCTGTTCAGAAGATCTTTTTATACTTCTTCAGATGTTTCTTTATATATCTGTTCTTTCATACATTTTTTATCTTAGTTTTCTCTGCTTTCAGATTCTGTATAACATACAAAATGCTTTCAGATAAGATCTTATAAATCATTCTCTTTACTTATTAATACATAAGCAGATTTAACTCTTCTATATCAGAGATATGAAATGTTCTTCTTATATCAGTTAATAGAATTGTATGAATCATTTTGTTTCTATCAGTCAACTGTATATAACATGTACATCATTGAATCTGCAAATTGAATCTTTGAAATCAATCAAGTCTGAGAATAAGATTATATTTCACATTCTGCAGCTCTCACACTTAAATATAGCAAGATCATTCTTCAAAGTGCAAGAAAACTCTTACTCTTACAGATAATATTAAATATTAATTATCAGATAATCTTATATATCAGAGATTCTTCACTCAGCAGACTTCTTTCAATCTTTGAATTATATAATTATTAATATATTGTGTAGAAGCTTCTGTGTCTACTAATACTTTTACAGTCATCTCTCAATTCTTATTTAAATACTCTTTATACATTAACATTTCAGGTCTCAGAGTATTGAGATGAGTGTTGACTTCATTCTTATTCATATCTCAGTCAGAAGCCTGCTTTCTCTTGACATTCACAGAATTCAGAGAATTATCTAACACAGATATCTCTTTCACTTTAAAGACTTTTTATAGAATATCAGCAAGTGTCTCTGAGCTCACTGATTCTGTTAGTTTTTTAACTCTCTTACTTTTCTTGACTATGCACACTGTGTGCAATCTTTTATATCATGATTTTAGTATCTGCAGTTGAAGCAAGCTCAATGCTTATAATATTAAGATTTTCACTCAGAGAATTTCTTTTTCAGAGAATTCAGCACTTTAGTGATAACATTCAAATCTAGATTCATCATGTCTGAGTGTGTAGCTTGTATTATAGAAGTCTGATTATCTATTCTTCACTGAGATATACTCAATTACAGTATTTTCTGTTGTAATTGACTCACTTATTCTCATACAATGAGAATATTATATGCTTCTTTCATTATGTCTGATTACAAGGTTAAGCATTTTCATTCTGCTCTCAACTCAGATATAAGATTATGAATAAAGATCTATAAATAGAAATATATTAAAAGCTCTTTATTCAATACAAGATAGTGTAAGCTGAAGTGTGTGAAGTATGATATAAGATCACTTACTTATCTACACTCTATGAAGTGTTTGTAACACTTATCTTATATATTCACTTTCTCAAAGTTGTGCAAGATTCATTTGAAAAACTCATTTCATATTTATAAAAATGAATATCATTTCAGATCTGTGAGATTCATCTTTTCATCAGTTATTTATAATGACTTCACTTTTTCACATAGAAATGTGACAGATCTTAAGACTTGTTGAAATTTCATTGACTGTCTGTCTGTGAGTTCATATTCAATGCAATAATATGATTACATCTGACTTAGTCAGCTGATTACAGCATTATTTTTTCAGTCATTATTAAAGCTTAATAAATTCAGCAGATCTTCTAACTTGATATATTTCATATTCAGATTCTCATTCTGCACAGCAGTCTTTAATGATGTGTATACTATGTATAAGAACTCAACCGCTCCACCACGAACTCGCTCGATTTTTCGAATAAGAACCCGCCGATAGATCCATCGAAAAGCCCTCGATCATACGAGCATTTTGACCCCATCGCCGACCGCATACCCCGTGTGGTGGTGGAGTTATCCAGCCAAACATGAACCAGACGTCGTTCGAAACTCCTGTGTGGGATTATCCCCCATTCTCCCCTACCACACCACAACCCCGGGCCAAATTGCCATACAAATTGTAAGGTGAAGAGACCTAGCCATATGCACCAATCTTCTCGATTTTGGAAGATCCCCGATCTGTAGTTGTGGAGATATCTGAGAAGCGACCTCCGCGAAAACCCTGTCCATCTTTGATGTTCCAAAACACCAACGCCAAGTCCCACCCTCGTACCGCCCTTCCTAATCTGGCCCATCCCCGGCAGAAAAATACAAAAAGATACCTCGGCGATAATATCAAGCACATAATCAACAGCCACTTCTGAAGTGCAACCTCCGCGGTCTGTCTTCAGTGTATCTAGACATCAACACCAAGTCTCACCCTTGTACCACCCCTCTCAATCTAGCCCATCCCCGACAGAAAAGTACAAAAAGATACCTCAGCAACTGTACTCAATACATTATTATTATTATTATTATTCTTTAATTATAGATGTATGCAGTCAGAGACTATGATATCTATCTAAGAACTTTTAATTCTCAGGGTTTTTCCTATGTCTGTAAAGTTAACTATTATACATTCATCAATTTCAGATATACAAAATCAGAAAATTCCAGCCCAGAATACAAAAACTGTTTACAAATTACAGTGTTTTAACATCTTTTAATACTTTGAAATCATTTGACAATATCATGACAAAGGAAAAGAGAAAAAGAACACAGTCTCAAAGATAGACACATTAAATAGATAGATAGAAAGAAATTGAAAGAAAAAGATAAAGAAAAAGATAAAGTAAAGAGAGCTACAGAACAAGATCTCTGCAGTTTACACCTTAAGCTATATACATATTTTAACACTCTATATAACTGACTGCTGTCTCTGTTCTCTCAGGCCTGCTTCAGGGATTATCATTCTCTCTAAAGAGCTGCTGCTCAGCTAGCTCCTGTAACTAGCTTACTCATAAGTGAGATTCTCACTAAGAATAATATCAGAGCTACTCAATTCTAGTTAAGTCTCTAATCTTTCAGCTGTCAATCTCAGCATTTCAGCCTATCAATTGGCCGTCATAGTCTTGCTTACACTAATCACCTATTAAGGGTGCCTAGGCCTTGTCTCACCTAGGTCCTTGCTAGGCCCAGGGTGTCCTAATTGAATAGTTTTTAAATCTCATTCCCTGGAAGTGGGTGCCTAGAGTGAGGGAGATGAGACCTGGCCAGTTAAGCTTGATGATGATTTGCTATCCTGCGGGCACTCTAGATCTCAATCACTCTAGTACTGATCTAACTTGAAGCGCCCGGGGGGCTGTTAACCCTAAGATCAGTGAGAATTAGCGCCCGGGAACCCCCAGGATGAACATCTTAAGCTTGATGATGATTTGCTATAGTGCACCTGGGGGCCCCTGATACTGTTTTATGACTTAACAGTGGAAGCTGTGGTTAAGATGGCCCTTGCAGGGTTCGAATCTGCCCCCTCTTGGCATTCATTCCCCGGGGGGAAGGCCGCTAATTGGGGCTCCATGGTAGCGTAGTTAACCACTACGCCACCGGGCCGTACTCAATACATAATCGGCAGACATGACAACTATAAAATCAGTATACTCCAAGGTCTGACTGAGCCTTTGATCTCTGCACAGTGAGATATATTAAATCTAGTTTTAATACCTCAATATTCAATAGATTCTGCAAGGGATTGAGAACAGCAACACTAGGTTTCTATTGAATTTGAGAATTAACTCTATATTAATATAATCATTGACAAAGTCTTCTATTTTAAGATATAAATAACCAGTTCCTCTACATCCCGCTGGCAATATTTATATTATTATATAGAAACAGACTTATATTCTCTATAATATCAAGACTCTGAAGAGGGAAAGTCTTGATAGAAAGTATACAGTAGTACATATCTTAGCAGTTTCTATCTCATTCTTCTGCAGCAGTTAATGCAAAAAAAAAAAGATCTTAGAAATAGTTTTTTACTTCTCTTGAAAAAGTAAGACATTTTTCTCTGAGTTTTACACAATATTCTTACAAAGAATAAAAAACAGAGCTGTTTTCTGTCATAATTTCATATTCTTTTAAGTAAGAATTACTTTTTCAGTGACTGAAGAGCTTTCATTAATACT